GCAATGACCATACACCAAGTCGCAATAATGTAAATTTGACAAGACCAGACTGTTGCAAAGACTTTTGTAAAGAGATTTTAAAGATCCAAAACATTTTCCTATTTTTTGCTGTACGTGTTGTTCAAACGTTAAACCTTCATCCATGTTAAGGCCTAAGTTACGAATACAATCTTCTCGAGGAATAGTTGTGCCACTGATCACGATAGTTGGATCAATTTTTTTGATTAATGCAACCTGATGACGTATACCCATATTACCCATACCTTTTTGATAGTGCTGTCGAAATGTAAATCCAAGATGGCGGCTGTAATAGGTATCAAATTTTTCATCATGGGTGTCATTTTCATGGTTTTCGAGAAAGTTGAAGCCGATAGGGTTGTCGAAATATAAATCCAAGGTGGCGGCTGCAATGGGTATCAATTTTTTCATCTTAAACGTGATAGAACCATGCTGCAGCTGTATTAGTAGTATAGTTGTAGCACGAATGGGTCGGCTCGACCGGGGAAGGACCACGCTCTAACAGAATACCAGCTTAACACTGCTGTGTTTCGTATGGTGAGTGTAGAGAACCGGAGACCCTTTTTACTGGAAAAGAGGCATTCTATCTTAGTCCTCACGGGTGAGAACGCATCTGCATTTTGATTCGCTAACGAAGATAGATGTAGATGTCTATGGGCCACAGCAACCACTTATCATCAGGTGGACTGTGTGCTCGTTTGTCAAAAAAAAATCATGGGTGTCATTTTCATGGTTTTCGAGGGTGTCGAAGCCGATAGTGCTGTCGAAATGTAAATCCAAGATGGCGGCTGCAATAGGTATCAATTTTTTCATGGGTGTAATTTTCATGGTTTTCGAGGTTGCTGAAGCCGATAGTGCTGTCAAAATATAAACCCAAGGTGACAGCTGCAATAGGTATCAATTTTTTCATCATGGGTGTCATTTTCATGGTTTTCGCGGGTGTTGAAGTCGATAGTGCTGTCGAAAAGTAAATCCAAGGTGGCGGCAGCAATAGATATCAAGTTTTTCATCCTGGGTGTCATTTTCATGGTTTTCGAGGGCGTTGAAGCCGATAGTGCTGTCGAAATGTAAATCCAAGGTGGCGGCTGCAATAGGTATAAATTTTTTCATCATAGGTGTGATTTTCATGGTTTTCGAAGGTGTTGAAGCCGATAGTGCTGTCGAAATGTAAATCCAAGATGGCGGCTGCAAAAGATATAAATTTTTTCATCTTGGGTGTCATTTTTATGGTTTTCGAGGGTGTTGAAGCCGATAGTGCTGTCGAAATGTAAATCCTAGATGGCGGCTGCAATAGGTATCAATTTTTTCATCATGGGTGTCATTTTCATGGTTTCCGAGAGAGTTGAAGCCGATTGTGCTGTCGAAATGTAAATCCTAGATGGCGGCTGCAATAGGTATCAAGTTTTTCATCATGGGTGTCATTTTCATGGTTTCCGAGAGAGTTGTAGCCGATAGGGTTGTCGAAATGTAAATCTAAGATGGCGGCTGCAATAGATATCAATTTCTTCATCATGGGTGTAATTCTCATGGTTTTCGCGGCAGTTGAAGCCGATAGTGCTGTCGAAATGTAAATCCAAGACGGCGGCGGCAATAGATATCAATTTTTTCATCTTGCGTGTCATTTTCATGGTTTTCGAGGGTATTGAAGCCGATAGTGCTGTCGAAATGTAAATCCAATATGGTGGCTGCAATAGGTATCAATGTTTTTATCATGGGTGTTATTTTCATGGTTTTCGAGACAGTTGAAGCCGATTGAGTTGCTGAAATATAAATCCAAGGTGGCGGCTGAAATGGATATCAACTTTTTCATCATGGGTGTCATTTTCATGGTTTTTAAGGGTGTTGAAGCCGATAGTGCTGTCGAAATGTAAATCCAAGATGGTGGCTGCAATAGGTATCAATTTTTTCATCATGGGTGTCATTTTAATGGGTTTCGAAGGTGTTGAAGCCGATAGTGCTGTAGAAATGTATATCCAAGGTGGCGGCTGCAATAGGTATACATTTTTTCATCATGGGTGTCATTTTCATGGCTATCGAGGGTGTTGAAGCCGATAGTGCTGTAGAAATGTAAATCCAAGATGACGGCTGCAATAGGTATCAATTTTTTCATCGTGGGTGTCATTCTCATGGTTTTCGCGGGTGTTGAATCCGAGAGTGCTGTCGAAATGTAAATCCAAGATAGCGGCGGCAATAGATATCAATTTTTTCATCTTGCGTGTCATTTTCATGGTTTTCGAGGGTATTGAAGCCGATAGTGCTGTCGAAATGTAAATCCAATATGGTGGCTGCAATAGGTATCAATGTTTTCATCATGGGTGTTATTTTCATGGTTTTCGAGACAGTTGAAGCCGATTGAGTTGCCGAAATATAAATCCAAGGTGGCGGCTGAAATGGATATCAATTTTTTCATCATGGGTGTCATTTTCATGGGTTTCGAAGGTGTTGAAACCGATAGTGCTGTCGAAATGTATATCCAAGGTGGCGGCTGCAATAGGTATACATTTTTTCATCATGGGTGTCATTTTCATGGTTTTCGAGGGTGTTGAAGCCGATAGTGCTGTAGAAATGTAAATCCAAGATGACGGCTGCAATAGGTATCAATTTTTTCATCGTGGGTGTCATTCTCATGGTTTTCGCGGGTGTTGAATCCGAGAGTGCTGTCGAAATATAAATCCAAGGTGGCGGCTGCAATAGGTATCAATTTTTTCATCATGGGTGTCATTTTCATGGTTATCGAGGGTGTTGAAGCCGATAGTGCTGTCGAAATGTAAATCCAATATGGTGGCTGCAATAGGTAGCAATGTTTTCATCATGGGTATTATTTTCATGGTTTTCGAGACAGTTGAAGCCGATTGAGTTGCCGAAATATAAATCCAAGGTGGCGGCTGAAATGGATATCAACTTTTTCATCATGGGTGTCATTTTCATGGTTATCGAGGGTGTTGAAGCCGATAGTGCTGTCGAAATGTAAATCCAAGATGGTGGCTGCAATAGGTATCAATTTTTTCATCGTGGGTGTCATTCTCATGGTTTTCGAGGGTGTTGAAGCCGATAGTGCTGTAGAAATGTAAATCCAAGATGACGACTGCAATAGGTATCAATTTTTTCATCGTGGGTGTCATTCTCATGGTTTTCTCTGGTGTTGAATCCGAGAGTACTGTCGAAATGTAAATCCAAGGTGGCGGCTGTAATAGGTATCAATTTTTTCATCATGGGTGTCATTTTCATGGTTATCGAGGGTGTTGAAGCCGTTAGTGCTGTCATATCATGAAATGTATTTAAACTACTTTTAAAAAAATCGTATAATCATGTTATACGTAATTTGTTAATGCGCTTAGGGCATGCCCAATCGGATTTACCAATATATATTTTATTTTGTAAACTGATTTAATATTATGGTCTCTTTACTGTCATATTTTTTCAAGTACATGCTTTTATTGCGTAACCCTTGACCCTTGTAAATCACAGCAACAGTAATTAGCTAAATTCACATACTTAATAATTAAAATAAATTGACTATGTATCCTACAAGTAATTAGGGAAAGTAAGTTTTGCACAAGACCAGCCTTGACAGACAGCAGACACCCAAGGTGCAAAAATAAAACAAACTGTTGATACATAGTTATTATATTTTGATTATTAATCTGAGTCTAGGTATTCAACTCCCGAAATGTTGCCTGAATCTCCTGCGTAATTAAATTAGTCCATTTCTGACTCATCGGATTCACTGGAACTATCATCGCTTACTGAGATCTATATCATTATACAGGGATCCTCCACGGGCAAAATATTCATCGTCCTCCATTTTGCGCGGAATTGTGCTTTCAGATACACCTGAAACCAATATAGGCATGTAAATAATAAATACCTTATTCATATCTAAACAAATAATACAAAAGGATCAAAACTATTGACTGTGTAGTATAATTTTTAAATAAATTTCATAACCTCAACTATTTGTAAACAATGTAATAAAACGGATAAATTATACTTAACAAATGATAGATATGAGATTACAATTTTTTTATTGTGTTTAACATTAAAATACATGTACGTACCAGTTATCTTTGCTGTTCGACCGTAAACATCGTTTAAATCGGAAAGAAACTTTCCCGCTTGAAATTCGGCCATACACTCTTGAAACACTTTAAATATGACTTGTCTGGTGCCTATCTTATAAATACTGCGTTTTATTTTTGATCTCTAAAGACTTAGTCATACGATAAGAAAAACTCAAAATATAACAAAAAATCTTAGGGCACATCAACCAACTCGTCTGAAAAACTACGATATGAAGATAGCTGTTGTGAACGGAGTGAAGTCAGCTGAATTCAAATATTTAAAAATTTTCATGTTTAGAGTAGTTAGTAAAATGCTAGTATACAAAATCCCTAATCCCTATTATTTACGTAGTACAAAACCAAGCGGATTGGTTGGTCCTTGTTTATTTCTCCATCTTATTCTAATTACTTTTGGCGCTTGTTTCGACGAAATTTGTTCCAACAGTCTGGGAAAATGATACTAATTCAGATTCCGTGAACGGATAGTTATTTATTACGTATAAATAAAAGTGACTTATGCTATCTTAACTAACAGAACCATTCTGCGTGGTAATTCGCTTTTAGCGCCATCTATCAACAAAAAATGTAAACTTCTTACAAACTAAATTTACATCAGTTTAGATTATTGGACATTCCGCCCACGAAGGACACTTTGTCCTTAAAGTACAACAACTAAATAATCTGAAATACAACAATAAAATTAACAAATAAATTCCTTTAAATAAAAGTGTGGACTGTAATATAAAATTCAAAGTGAAATTTTACAAATTTCATTTGTTAGGTAAATTTGCAATGTACTAAATACTCTATACAATTAATAAGACTATAAAATACAATTTTAGTCCTTAATATTTAAAATACATAATTTTGAAGCTGGACGTTTCAGCAATGAGTTTTTACAACGCAAAGTTACGACACGTGTTATATTATCTTTGACTGGATGAATTTCCTATTAACCCTACCATAGAGCCATTTAGCGGGCGATAAATTATCTTCTTTTACCAAAACAATATCGTCTACTTTTGGCTCAGATATTTGCGAATTCCATTTATATCGTTGAAAAAAATTAACCAAATATTCCTTAGACCACCGACGCCAAAAATTCTGTATCATTCTTTGAGTTAACTGCCATCGACGTAAGGTACTCATATTTTGAATTTCGTAATTGCTATCGGGGGCAACAACAAGCAATTGTCCTATTAAAAAATGGCCGGGAGTTAATGGTACTGGATCATCGGGATCGCCACTAGCTTGAGAAAGAGGTCTTAAGTTTAAACAAGCTTCGATTTGTGAGAGTACAGTTGACATCTCTTCAAATGTGAGAGTTGAATTATTTATAATACGACGTAAGTGATGTTTTACACTTTTGATCGCAGCTTCCCATAACCCGCCAAAATTAGGGGCTCGGGGAGGAATGAAATGCCAAGTTGTACTATTATTTGCTAATACAGAAGCAATCTCATTAAGCATCGAATGTTTCTCTCTAGAAAATAATTGCTTTAATTCCTTTGATGCTCCAATAAAGTTTGTCCCATTATCGCTATAAATATCACTACAGTGGCCACGGCGAGCAACAAATCGCTTAAAGGCGGCGAGAAATCCTTGAGTAGTAAAGTCAGAGACAGCCTCGATATGCACTGCTCGTGTCACCATACATATAAATAGACAAATGTATCCTTTATAACACTTGTTGCCTCGGCCTTTAGACATTCTCAAGTCAATAGGACCTGCATAATCTACACCTGTACGGAGGAAAGGTTTACATGGTGTCACTCGACTTGAAGGTAACTGTCCCATTAACTGATTTTGGGTCGTGGCAGAATAACGGATACAAGTTATACAGTTGCGAATGTGCGATCTTACCAAATTTTTTACTCTAAGGATCCTAAACTTACTTCGAATAAAATTTATTGTTATTTGCTGACCTCCGTGTAATGTACTCTCATGTGCATCTTTTACTATAAGTTTAGCTAACTGAGAATCATAAGAAATGATAATTGGATGTTTGCTGTCATCGGAAAGTTTAGCACGATGAATCCTTCCTCCTACTCGCAGCAACCCTATATTATCTATGAATGGGTTCAAAGTTATTAAAACACTCTTTTTACTTATACACCCATCTTTTATAAGGCTCTGAATTTCTTTTCCAAAGGCCTCCTGTTGAGATAGGCGCAGTAAGCAATTAAAAGATTCACTGATTTCCGATGCTGTTAAGAAAGAAGGTAGAGTTATTATTTGTTCATTGGGTTTTTTAAATCTTAAAAAACGTCTACAAAATGCCACTACTCTGATCAGCTTTTCCTTGGATGAAAATTTCAAGCATAGATTTTCAAAAAATTCAGGATCATGTTCAGTTACTACGTGTGATTTGACAGTCTTTTTCTCTAAACAGGTAAGTATACTCTTTGGACGTGAGTATTGAATATATCTATCAAGTAACCAACTGGGGCATTCTTTCCAGAGTTTGCTTTCTAAAAGAACTGCAGGTGATATACCGCGAGATGCGCAATCGGCTGGATTGTCTTCAGATTTTACATGCGAAAACTGATTCGACTCAAGCAAATTAAGAATTTCAGATGTCCTATTGGCCACAAATGTTTTCCAACGACTGGAATGGTCACTTAACCAAGCCAAAACAACAATGGAATCAGTCCAAGCATGTAAGTTTAATTGTGCAATATTTAATGTTTTTGCTACTTCTATTAGTAATTTAGTAACTAAAACTGCTCCACATAGTTCCAAGCGTGGAATAGAAATTTGTTTTATAGGTGCTAGTTTTGTCTTAGCTGTTACAAGACTTGAATAAACTTTGCCTTTCGCATCAACTATTCTTATATACACAACAGCAGCGTAAGCAATGTTAGATGCATCACTAAAGCCATGTAGTTCGACAGTTATATCATCAGTTCTTCTGTGAAACCACCGTGGTAAGTGAAAGTCAACTAATTTTGTTAGTTCATTTCGATAATGCCTCCATTCAGTTTGAAGATTAATTGGCAATTCCTCATCCCAGTCAATCCCAGCTATCCATATTTTTCTGCCGACTTCCAAAAAGGAGCCGGTACTCAATTCGACTGTATGTTTTTTTTTTCGTTTTTTTTTTATGTGTGTTACCTCAGAACTTTTTTCTGGGTGAACCGATTTCGATGATTCTTTTTTTATTTGAAAGCTGGTACTTCTCGTGTGGTCCCATATGAATTTGATCAAGGTCAGACCAATAGTTTTTAAGTTATTCTTAAATAACTTATATTGAAGTCGGCTGTACAAAATTTTTAATTTTAAATTATTGAATAAATACTTTAGATGTAATTATACAAGGAGCTATCCAACCAAGTGGATCATACAGGCGAGATATTTCAGAAATAACTTTTCTTTTTGTTTCAGGTGCAAAAGACGACGATGAAGCAATATTTACACTGTAATCGAACTCATCAGATTTTCTATTCCAGGTAAGTCCTAATATTTTTGAAATTTCATCAGTCTTTATTTCTAAATTTGTCCCGCCATACTTTTCTAGTTTCTCTAACAATTTTACATTATTACTTGACCATTTATGCAACTTAAAACATCTCTTGCCTAGTAGTTCATTCATTTCTTCGTAGATCTTTATAGCTTCTGATTCAGATTGACAGCCAGTCATTAAATCGTCCATATGAAAATCTGTCATCACTCTAGGTGCTGCCCATGGAAACATATGGCCTTCATCAATAGCAGTTTATCATAACTATCTATATTCATAACTGTCTATTTTCGCATAGTGATATTAGTGTTCATAAAAGAAGTCTAAAAACGAACAAATATCCTTTGTAAATATTTATTTGATTTCGTGATTGTAAATATAGATATAGCTTCGTTTTGGGTTGTAATATAACAAAGAAATAATGTCGCGAAAAAACACTGTGTTTTGTGGGAGTTTTTCGAAAAAAACTGATAATTTAAATAAAAAAGCGCGTTGTAATATTTCTCAAAACGAATTTAGTTTTCAGACGACTTCAGGTTATCTGGAGTTACATTTACGGCAGCGATATATAGAAGCATACACACAAGTTTCGTTAGAACAGCAAACGATTGCTAGATCTTCGAGACCTGTGAACACTTTGGGTGTCCTTGCGTCAGCACTAACTTAAAAGACAACTTTTTGAGCCAGGCTTCGATGTGTGATCTAACTTCTGTGATGCGATCAGCTGTACTGTACCGCAGTCTTAAAACAAATAAGGAAAAATGGATGCCTTAATTACTAGAAAGATGTCAAAAGATCAAAAGTATGAAGGAAAATTCATTTCAGCAACTAAATTAGTATTTACTTAGTGAACGAAAATAATTTTGATGATAACTGTTCTATGACGGTATATTGTTAAGTTGCGGTTACATGGAAAATAGACAGTTATGAATATAGATACTTAGTTATGATAACGTTATCCGTTGTACCATAACGATAACGTTACGTTATTTAGAAAAGACATAACGACACACCACTATACTTTATACATGCTTAGGACTTTCCTACATTTATCTACATTCTAGATTGTTGACGGATTTAAAAGGTTTCAATTCATTTCTTTTTCTTTTTCAGAATAATCAGATTTTTGTCTGTTTTGGTTTATTTTTTGTTAATTATTTTTTTTCGTTTTTTTTTTAAAACCTATCTTCAATCATTGTTTTTAATATACGTGCAAACATCAGTCTTAAGATTTTTTTTAACTAAATTGTATTTTACAAATGTTACACTCAGGCCTTTTGTCACTCAGGCATGTTGGCCTTTGTCCGTAAAATAATCCCAAGCAACACGGCTTCCTTTGGAAGTCATCTTTTTAAAGCAATAAACAATTTAGTGCCTAAATAAAAAAATTCTAAAGTTTTTTAAACCGCATAACAAATTTCGTTACGAAAACCTAAATAAAACGTGTAGGTATCAATCAATACGGTGCCGAGATCACATTCGTATGAGTCCGTACCAGACACTCGACTGTATCATATAGAATACATAAAATCTGCCTGGTGTTTGGTTGAAGTCCCGACTAGTCTCGAGTATTGACAGACAAAGATAGAACGATTGCGGAATAGTGTAGTTAAATAAATTAAAATTAAAACTTTTGTACAACCAACTTCAATATATATTATTATGAATAACTCAAAAACTTTTAGTCAGACGTTGCTCATTATTATATGAGACAACATGAGAAACTCCAGCTTTCAAATAAGAAAAGGAAACATCGAAATCGGTTCACATAGAACAAAGTTATGAGGACATAACATATAATGATAATCTTACAAAACACGAGTGCGCGTCGCGTTACTTTTATATACATTGAAATATAGTTGAAATTCAAATGACTGGCACACGAATGATTAGGCAAATACGAGTGAGCGGCAAAGCAGATTATAATATAATATAGTGTTGCGCGCCACTATTAATGTTTTGTACATGGCAACACTAGTTACACTAGCGCCCTCTAGTGTCGAGTAGCAGAACTAGGAGAGTCAAGATCCTACCAGAAATTTCGGGACCGATGCTATCTGAGGCCCTATATAAGGCCGGTATAGACCATGACCGAGGCAGTATTGAATTGGCGATACAAGAGAATATTTGGAAGCGAAATAACTAAAGTGATTGTGTTTTATTATTATTGTGGTTTTAGATTGTAATTAGTGTTGTGTAATTAAAGTGTCAATTTTGGTAATTCAATCGGCAGTTTTAATTGTCTCGAAACCCAAGCTCGTAACAATAGTAACTATGGAAACAAAATGCTATCTTGCTTCGCCACGCTGGTACTTCTTCGATTCGAGCGGGCCGCCTATGCCGTGCGACACGTAGCCACAGTGACTCTAGGTAGATCAAATGTTTTAAAAGTTGGAACAGGTGAAACCTAGTCTCGTTTAATACCTAGTGCCTGGATCTGTTCTAGTATAAACGCTCACATATACTAACAAGTTATTATAGAATATAGACTATATTAGTGGGGAGTTTTGGCGAGAACTTTACCGGCGGCGGTTTGCTGCTTCTGTATTATTGTTTAAATAACGGTTAGAAGTGGATTTTGATATGTAATAGTGGTCGATTTTGTGTATTAAGTGACTGCGCATGTAAACTATTAGTGGAAACGGTGAAACAAGTGCTCTGATGGTGATGTAATTATCAGGATAAGGTGTCTGTCTGTTTAGGCGCCAACTTTGAGTTGTCTGCTGGCCCAAGTTGCCGTCAAAATCTCCCAAGGGCTGCACAATGTAACGCATTAACATATTGTGAAGCAGTGCACTATGAAGGATAATGATACATTGTAACACCAGGCTTAGAAAGGCAAGAACCCAGAGCTAAAAAGTCAGTTATTAAAAAAAGTTAGTAGTCTGTGGCTGTTAGCTGTCACTGTCTCCTGTCACTGTGTGTCTGTTGTAGACATGAGCAATGTATATCACTTAAAAGAAAAGATTGATATGTATCTTTTGATCACGTGGATATGTATCACTCTTTTATATCTTTATATCCTTATTGTGGCGGATTGGGATTATTTTATTAGATATAGTGGACTGTATTGAGATTCTAAATCCCCTGAAACGTTCAGTTACCGCAGTCACAAAATCACACCAAAAACAGCAATAAACTACTCACGGTCTTACTAGCCAGCCTCCCAAGATCAGCAAACGTTGACAGCTCCTGGTAGCTTCTTCTACACGGTAGAATACACTAGCAATTAGATTGTACACGGTACACTCTGGAGTAGTCCCTTTTTAAAGTTTTTGGAGAGATGTTCACATCACGAACACAAAGAGAATGTGTATAGCTTGTCTCGCCTCCTACCCTCCTCTTCTCTTTTTTTTAACTTCACAGATTATTACAACGCATATTACGTCGCAATGTTGCCACTAGGTGTGACCGGCGCTCCGATCGTAGCAGATCATTGTGCCTCGGTATAAATTTTGTGAGTTGCGGTTTATTACTGAACACACCCCCCACCGAAACCATCTTGATGGTTTCTCCTAACTATATGAAAAAGATATTAGAGAAAATATTATAACTTAAGCTACGGAACATGCAAAATAACGCTGAGACACAGAATGTCCTCAACGAGAAAAAAAAATATTAATACACGTAAAAACTAATTTGAATAAGGTAGAGGACTCAGTTTATTAACTGGTCTCTGTAGAGTACTCTTTTGAGTGCGAAGCGTAACACAACGAACAATCCCATCTGGACCGGGGTGAAGAGCCTCAATTCTACCCAAAGGCCAATTGCACGGCGGTACATTATTAGTTTTTTTGATTACGAGATCACCTATTTTTATATTAGATCTATCCGAATGCCACTTTGCTTTCTGTTGCAGCGTATTTAGATATTCGTGACTCCATCTACGCCAAAACATTTGTGAACATTTTTGAATATATTGCCAACGTGATAATCGATTTATTGTTATATCCTCTACATTATACTCAGGTACTGCTGTTAACCCTTTTCCAATTAGAAAGTGTCCCGCAGTCAAAACGTTGAACTCATCAGGATTATCACTAGCTGGTAACGGACAAAGCGGCCGCGAGTTGAGAATCGCTTCTACTTTACAAGACACTGTTGTGAGTTCCTCGAACGTCAAACTTTTTTCTCCTACGGCTCGCGTTAATAGATACTTGGCGGATTTAATTCCAGCTTCCCAGAGCCCACCCATATGTGGTGCACCAGGGGGATTAAATCTCCATATAATTTGTCGTTTTGAGCAACCCTCTAATATATTGTTTTTTTGTTCGAGCATAAATCTTTGTACTTCGGTTAAATGCTTACTAGCAGCTATGAAATTAGTTCCGCAATCCGAATAAAGGAAGGAGCACACACCGCGTCGCGCTACAAATCTGTCTAAACACGCGAGGAAACAGTCCGATGACAACGACGATAAGACTTCAAGGTGTACAGCTTTTGTCGAATAACAAATAAATAATGCTAAATATGACCGTTCAACCCTAGCATTTCGTCGTAAACTTTCTTTTGTAAAGAACGGACCACCGAGGTCCACCCCTACATGCTCAAAAACATTACAAGGTATCAATCGGGCTGCTGGCAAAGGTGCCATCTCAGGCTGTAAGAGCACTGGGTTGTGTTTAAAACAAATTTTGCATTTGGACAAAACTGACCGAATAATGCGACGGGATGCTAAAATCCAAAAATTTTGATTAATAATGTTTTGTAAGGTGCGTGGACCTACGTGTAAATATTTTTTATGTAAATATTCAATAAGTAAAAAGGTAAATCTACTATTTTTAGGTAATAAACGAGGATGCTTCGCGTTATAAGGTAACGCTGAATAATTTATTCGACCCCCCACCCTGAGGTATCCGCGTTCGTCAATAAATGGAGATAATTTTCTCAACGACGGAACGTACTTTGTGCCCTTTGACAATCTATTTATTTCATTTGCGAAGTATGCACTTTGTACTAATTTAATTAAAACATCTTGGGCAGTATTTAATTCGTTAGTCGTCAGTATTGATTGCTTCGAGTGACCGGATTTGAGTCGGAACCATCTCAATATTCGAGCAAACGTACGTTGCAGTTTATAATAAGAAGAGAAATTGGAAAAGATTCGGTCACAGAACTCTAACTTAGTCTCCTCTATCGAATTATTTTCATTTGTGATTAAATTGAAGGAGCCTAATGTATGATTTGATTTCATTTCGGGTGTATTACTTTCATGTTGGTTGATAAATGTTCTCACTGGCCACTGCGAATAGTCGTCGTACAACCAAGATGGGCCCTTCAACCACTGCTCACTGCACTCCACGAGCTGTGACGGAGACGCTCCGCGCGAGCATATGTCTGCCATATTGCACTCACTACTCACGTGACGCCAACAGTGTGGAGGTAACACTTCACATACCTGAGTAACACGGTTACTAACAAACGGCTTTAATTTGTAAGCTTCTGTCTGAAGCCACGTCAACACGATAGTCGAATCGGTTAACGCAGTAATACGAGTAATTTTTACACGAGTTAAAATGTCACGGACATATCTAATTAATTTGCTTAACAAAACTGACGCCATTAATTCCAACCTCGGGATAGTTAATGGTTTGACGGGGGCTACTTTAGATTTTGCCGTCACCAGGCGTACTTTAGTTTGACCTCTATCGTTACGACTGATCACATACACACAACTAGCATAACCGCGAGAGCTTGCATCGCAAAAGGCGACCAATTCACATTCGGTCTGTTCTGGTAGCAGCATATGTCTATCTATCTTGATTGCCGTTAGTCGCGGGAGATCATCAACGTAATTAAGCCAGCGCTTAGTTACGTCAGTTGGCAGCTGCTCATCCCATCCTATGCCCAGCTTCCATAAATCTTGCATTATCTCTTTCGCGATGAAAATGCACGGTGAAATAAAACCCACGGGGTCGTAAATAGAAGCTAATAATTTTAAAACAGAACGTTTAGTTGTTACTTTATCAGTCTTATCTACTGTGAAATAAAAACAGTCAGTCAAAGGGAACCATTTCAGACCTAGCACTTTGACTGAATATTTGTTACCATCTTTCATAAATGTAACAGGACGCTCTCGGTTTTCTAACGGAACGCGTTGTAAAACTTTTGCACTATTACTCGCCCACCTTTTGAGTATAAAGCCACCGGAATTAAACATCTCTAAAAGTTCATCTTGTAACCGAGATATCTGTGACAATGAACTACAAGAATATAGAATGTCATCCATGTACACGCCCTCGCGCACAACCTTTCCAGCGAGTGGGAAACGTTCTTCCTCGTCATTGGCTAACTGTAAGAGGGTGCGGATAGCTAAGAACGGTGAGCAACTTAAGCCGTAAGTGACAGTTTTTAATTCATAAACGTCAATGGCATCGTTAGGCGAATGACGATACAAAATATGTTGATAACATCTATCTGACTGATTCAGTTTAATTGCCCGATACATTTTGCATACGTCACAAATCAAACAATATTCAAACAACCTAAAATTCAATATTATAGCCCCAATATCTCGATACAGATTAGGCCCGGTCAATAGAATATCATTAAGCGAAACGTTCGTGGACGTTTTAGCCGAGGCATCGAATACCACACGCAAAGGAGTAGTGGAACTACTGGGCTTAAGTATACTGTGATGAGGTATCACATATTTGCTTGGGGTGTCCCCCGAATAAAGCTCCATGTGCCCTAGATTTTCATATTCGCACATGAACTCTGAATAGGCTTGTCGTAATACAGGTGAACGATTCAACTTGCGCTCGGTGAACAAGAGTCGCCGCTCGGCTGCCGCTCGTGACGCGCCCAACGGAGGCGGGTCTGGTATGAATGGTAACGGCACTGAATAGGTACCATCCTCAGTACGACTATAACGAGCCACGAAAATGTCTTCCGCTAATTGTTCCAAAGGATTAATCGAGGGTTTGCTTGGCAATTCTTCGATTTCCCAAAACTTACGCAACGTTTGATCTAAAGACTCTTGTTCATCAAATGAGACTGATAAATTATAATTTTTTAAATTGTCCTTATCATTGCTATAAAGTTTACCACTTACAACAAACCCGAAAGCGGTATCGATCACGCTTGGTATATCCGATGAAATAATATAAGGTTTATCCTTAATTAGTTCCGAAACTATATCATTGCCCAATAGTATATCGATACGCGAACGCTTATAAAATAATGGATCAGCTAAATTAAAATTCTTATATTTATTAATAACGTCCGAGTGGAATCGAACGTTAGGCATATCAGCAGATACCTTAGTCACTACGACCATGTTCAGTGTAAAACTAGGTAGGTCAGTGTGTAGGGACCTTAATGTGCATGTAATCATGCCGTGATTTTTTACAGCCTCTCCACCGAGACCATAAATATTAAACGAACACTTCTTTCGAGGTAAGCCCAAACGTTGAGCACACTCAGTTGTAATAAATGAGCTCTGAGCTCCAGAGTCAATAACTGCACGGCAGTATTGAAGCTGGCCGCTACTATCAATTACTAACACGCGCGCCGTTCCCAATACAACACCGTAACCCGAGTGAGCGTTATTGGAATGAAGCGTATCTATCGTATAACGCTCTGAGTCACTCATAGCCTGAGACGAGACGAGTGCTTGTTGCACTTGCGAGTCAGAGCACAATGGACGGGTGGATGTTGGCACGAGCGTGTCGCTCACTGGCTCCCTATGCAATAGATAATGATGTAGTGACGCACATACACCACAAGACATCTCACTTTTACAAGTTGAGGTATCATGATTTCCTTTTAGGCAATTATGACACAATTTTAAGGTATTGACACGGTCAATCCTTTTATCTACGGTCAATTTACGAAATTGATCGCACCTATAAATCATGTGATTTTGATTGCAATGCGCGCAAATTATTTTTTTATTTTTATTATAATTTGACACATTAGTATTTAAAACTGTCTTTGAATAACTTTTGTAGTGGTTATTATTGTAGCCTTTGTAATTGTTACATATAGACTTATTTCTTGATTGTAACGACATCGTACTATTCGATGAATGTTCGAGTACTTTAACTTGTTTATTTACAAAACTAGTTAATTCCGAAAAAGATGGAAGTGAATTTTGATCCCGATTTTCTTCAAAAAGCCTCCTAGTATGCGCATCCAACCCACGTAAGGCTAAATGACAAAATAAATAGTCATGTAAATTTTTAATTTTTAATGCCTCGATGGCTTTAAAAGAGTGATCGAATGTTTCGATAAATAAAGTAAGATTTGCGGTAGTATCTTTATTTAACGGCGTAAAGTTTATCATTTTGTCGATGTACCTACCCACGAGTATTCGATCATCTTGATATTTATTACATAAACTTTGCCATACGACAGTATAATTAGCGGCTGTTATGGGCAATTTTTTAACAATGTTTAATGCCGAACCTTTAACACATGAAAGCAAATAGTGAAACTTATCTATTTCGTCGAAATCTCGATTGTGGACAAGTGATATAAATGTATCGTAGAATGTGGTCCACTTCTCAATATCACCATCGAATTCAAATAAACGTAATTTAGGTAATGACGGCCTTACATCACTCCTATCTTTCCTACTGAGGGATGCCTGCTCGTCCGGTTTTAATCTTAAATATTGCAACCGACATGCCTTATAAAGTTCATCAAATGTATCTAATTCTCGCGTTGACAATCTTGTCTCCGGTTTTAATGATATATCTATTTCAATAATATTTAACACTGTTTCTTCAAACTTTGAGCGGACACTTTCTAATTCGGAATAATCGGCTAAGAAATTCTGAATTTGTGTGGGATCATTTATTTGGGATCTCGCGATATCGAAAACCTTTTGTAATTTAGCAAATAGGTATTCCTTTTTAAAAATAAGTGTTTGCCTTTTTATTTGTAATTTATCCGACATTATGAACAAATTACAAAATTAATACTTTATAAACGCACCGCGAGCAATGGACATCCAGGTAAAAAAGAGGCAAATTAAATAAGGGATATTAAATTAATTAAATGCGTAGTTTTACTCAAATATATGACGTCCACGGGACGCGATCACTAATTCGAATATATCCGGCTCGAAGGACCAGAAATGTGGCGGATTGGGATTATTTTATTAGATATAGTGGACTGTATTGAGATTCTAAATCCCCTGAAACGTTCAGTTACCGCAGTCACAAAATCACACCAAAAACAGCAATAAACTACTCACGGTCTTACTAGCCAGCCTCCCAAGATCAGCAAACGTTGACAGCTCCTGGTAGCTTCTTCTACACGGTAGAATACACTAGCAATTAGATTGTACACGGTACACTCTGGAGTAGTCCCTTTTTAAAGTTTTTGGAGAGATGTTCACATCACGAACACAAAGAGAATGTGTATAGCTTGTCTCGCCTCCTACCCTCCTCTTCTCTTTTTTTTAACTTCACAGATTATTACAACGCATATTACGTCGCAATGTTGCCACTAGGTGTGACCGGCGCTCCGATCGTAGCAGATCATTGTGCCTCGGTATAAATTTTGTGAGTTGCGGTTTATTACTGAACACTTATGTATCAGTAGATCAAGCTCGCTTTCACGACACGCATCGCATTACGTTGCGTTGCTCACTCAGCGTGGCTCGCTTCGCTCAACTCAATCCTATCAGTAAGAGTGATAGATAAGTACCTATAGAGCTGTTTGCATTTTGCTTGGTCGTAACATTGTGTATCTTCGTGATATATTTGGCTGTTGTTTCTTTCTAGGTATTTATTTGTTATGATTAAAAAATTAAAGTTTTCCTATTTCTCAGACATGCAGGTTTCCTCACGATGTTTTCCTTCATCGCCGAGCACGTGGTAAATCAGCACTTAAAATTGCAATTAACAATTTCATTGGTGCCGGCGGGGATCGAACCCGGGTTACTCGCGTACTGTGAAACTTACAGCGAGCGCTGTTATTGTTATGATTGATAAATAGGCTCTTATTCGAGAAATTAACTTAAATTTTAAGTTTAAAATAATAATTAAATTAATGATTAACGTAAATAACGTAGGTAGGGTAGGTATTGTTTGTATTAATTTGTAGAAAATATATATTATATAGTTTCGGCTTCTTGAAAACATGCCTGCTGCGTTGGCTGTCTTTTAACTACGAGGGTTACTGTGGGGAAGGTTGCCACAATTTCCAGCGGGTACATTTAGCACGTTCGGACAATAAAGGCATTTTGCTTTTTTTTTCGTTCCACTTCCTCAAAATGAGTCCACACTGCGCTTCGTTTTCGTGAACCCATTTTTTTTAATTAATAAAACGCTAACTGCGCAAAATTATTTTCACTTAAAATAAATGAAACATTCACTAACTGTAAGTACAGAACAAAAACACTAAACTATTTACACTGAATGTCTTGAACTATTTTCACTGAATGACTAAGTGTAGAAAACAACTTCAAATAATTTTCTATTCGATGCAATTAACGCAAACAATATTACTCTCGTTCCCAAACCGAGATTAAGGTTGAACTAATGAAGCAAACTGATATATTTGTTTAATTTTGTAAATCACAAATCTTTTTTTTACTTTTTTATGGATATAAACGACTATTAATTTCGATTATAAAACTTTCTTAAAAACTATGGTTTTATAACTGAAATTAGTTTGCATTGTTTACTAAAAAAAATTATAGGCAAAGTACACATAGGTACAGTTCAAACCAGTATAATACTTAAATGTTAACGTACCGCTTAATGACTTTAAGCCCTATGCACCAGTCATAGAGTTATCAATTTACCTTTTTGTGCTAACGTATTACAGTTTATAATGGTCAAACAACTCACTCTCTCCGTCTTGCCAAAGCGCGACAGAACATTCTAAATAGTGACCTGTGAAAGAAACGTCTGTACTATGGACTTCGAAATCTTCCTGGAATGCCCAGCCACGCCGGCCGAGGTATAATAGAAAGCAGTGTGCGCAATGTGCGACACAGATGTTAGAAAAAGTTAAAAGATGTCTTGAGTTATAAGTTGTAAAGATATACTGATACAGTGATACATTCGGATGCGGATGGATATAAAGAGTGATTGATGGAAACGGATTGATTCATATCTCTTGTATCTATCTCTCCTGAGTTACCCATCTCTAGTCTGTTGATCTGTTCAAAGAGTAATCACAGAGTACATTGATAGTAATATACTAGAAGATCTGTTTGTGTTTAGTAAAATTTTCTATTGTTTGTCCTATTGGTTATTAAAATGTCTATAAATATTTTATTAACTCCAAAAAAGCCAGTCTCTGTACTTGTGGGTTAGTAGTTGTTGACTTTATTAAATTAGGTTATAATTTTTGTCTTCAATAATGTTTATCTATATTTTTAGATATTATTCGTCATGCCAGCAAAAAAACTGGTGGTAGTACGAAAAATACAAATTGTAAAGTAAAGCCTAAGCACAGAGGATGGAAAGTACAAGATGGACATTTTGTACAAGCTGGACATATTCTTGTAACCCAAAGAACTACTAGATTCCATCCCGGTTTAAACGTGAGTATAAAACTTAATGTATTAATTTCATTTATATCTATGTTTTTATTACAGAAAATAATTACATTTTATTTTTCATTTGATGGGAACAAAATCTCAATGTTAACTGAATTAATACTTTTAACGAATTGATTATTAGAGTGGAATATATTATTGGAGTGCTTGAAAACACAAAAAGTACTTTCACATTTTCATGTAATTGACGTCACACTTACAGTTAATTCAAATAGAACTGTATAAATGTTTGTAGATAGATCTTATGCTTACTTTGATAAGAATTAGCAATAGAAAGTGACATGAGTAAAAGTTACTTGTAGTGTTGATATCATATGTCAGGTTATAATATGTCAAGACATGACAATCAACATATTTTTATTCATAAGTAAAAATATGGAGGTCTATGGCCAACGGTCGAATGGTTAACACGTACTTGTGAGTGCTTTTCGGTATTTGGTTAATTCTCCTTAATTTCCTTATTTTGTGGTGGTGGATTCCTCTGCTGTAAGTCTACGTTTATAAGTTATAGTTATTTCGAACATTAAACCCAATTATGGGTGACGAAACGGGGTCTCCTCGTGAGAAACCCCCTGACCCTCCCGATGAAGACATGTGCTTTGGAGTAAGTGACAATAATGATTGTGGCCGTGGTAAAAAAAGACACGCTGAGACTCGATCATTTGATCCAGTAATATATAAAAAGAATTCTGTAATTGATTTAACAGCGTCAATAAACACAATATATAAACATCCCTGCCTAGAACAAAATCTTAGAATGTATGGTCCAAACGACCAAGGCCCTTTTATTGTCCACATCTCCCGGGCTACGTCAGATCCTAGAATAGGGCTATCACTTCGTCCAATTAAAATAGGTTTATGCTTGTCTAAAAATAAAATAGAAAACATCAAAAGAGGGGGAGTCAAAAGCGTTGGCAGAAATCGCATCTCTATTGAATTCTGCTCAGCCGATGAGGCTAACAAATTTCTTAATAATCCAATGCTTGCAAAAGAAAAATTGA